TAACTCAATGCACTTGAGCACTTTTATCTCTATTAACTGCGATGTTCATTCATAACCCCTCTGCATGCTTTGATTAAATTTTTGTTTATCACTTCATCAGACTAAGCAATAACTGACCTCAGATCTGCATACCTCCCCGAGGAGCCTGTAGCCATTCTGAGATCCATTCTGAGACAAAATAAAACTTAAAAAGCTGCCTGGAGTGTCTATGAGACCCTCCGGCGGCCACATGCTTTCTTATGTTTATGTTTGATGATGGACCTATATGCAATGCCTCATGATAATATCCTAGGACAAGACATTAGGGCTTTGGTCATTTATATACTTTGTGTTCACATCGTCTTACGATAAATAAATTACTTAAATAAATATGTGGAATTTATTTATATTTATATATACATTTAAATATAAATTTAATTGTGTTTGTACGCTTATCTTGTTAACATATTATATATTCTTTATATGTTTAATTTGACATCTTATAGCATCACGAAAAAATTTTCAAGTAAAAACTTTTAATGAAATTATTCAAATAAAGGAATAAGGAAGCAGCAAGGATTCCGACTTTGAAAAAAGGATTGAACATACTATTTTGTAGAAGCTTAAGCCTTATCGCGGTTAATGCATTTAATTTATTTACAAGAATTTTAGTTTCGAATTGCAATTGAGCTCGGTCTAATTGTAAATTTTGAATTTGCTGTGCTTGCATTTCCAAGATTTGACGTAGGCCACTCACACAGTGGTGGTTGTCATCTTTTATCAGTAAACCACAACCCATTCGACATCGGAAGGGATTCTTATCACACGTATCCTCATGTTTTTGCAATGAATCGAATTTGAGTTGAGTTTCACATCCATGAATTCTGTTTTCACAACTAATAGTTAGGTCAGCTAACATATTGCGAACAACTCGAGATGAAGTTGTCAAATCCTCTTTCACTAAAGAATGTCTGCATTCCGGGCACTTTGAATGATCAGATAAGTATTTCAATATACAAGCACGGCAGAAATCAGCCACACACGCATCACATTTTACAGGATCTTCTAGGACGTCGTTACATATGACACACAAGAGCAGTTCATCAACGAATGTAACGAAACGATTGATTTCATAACCCATTTTGCTAAAATTATTTTTGAAAACAAATAATATTATTATATTATTAAATAATATAAAAAATAAAAATGAATGATAATTGTTAATAGCTGTTTACTAATCGCAAAAGAATATGCGATGCTTGGGCGTCTTATAATATATGATGAAAAATCTTCAAAAGACTGGTGAATGGGATAAAACCTATTTATATTATTTGTTGTTGCTGTTGTGGTTTAAGTTAGTAATGCATACTTTTACTCTTTTGTGGCTGGGGGCTTATCTCAGCCCCGCAATAAGCTTTAACTATACTAGAATTATTATTATTTATTTATCTTTTATCTGATGACGGACCGTAGATCAGCATATCGAATTTATCCTGTGCGTCCTGAAGTGGACTTAAGGTTTGTTAATATATGTATATGCAATCAAGTAATGGAAATTAAATCACATTCGATTACGTTATATGAAACAGTATTCGTCAAATAAGATCATTTTTCACCATTAAAAAAAATATTAAATGACAGGTGAGAAGACGCAATAAATTTATCGGAATTGTATGAAGATTATATATTAAAAACTAAATAGGTTCTATCAAAGGATTGAATCCAATCTATATAGTCAGCAATCATTAAAGTTGAAGAAATAAACCGAGGGAAAAAAATAAATTTGATGTAAAAGAAAGTTATTGTATTTCAACATGACAACGCGACGCAAACGTTTTAGAGTCTTAAACATTCAGAACTTGACGAAAATTTTAGTGAATTTACCTTTTAGTCTAATATTGGTCCAATATATGTATTGGTAATATTGGGATCTCTCTTGCCGCAGAACTCAGACCAATATTGGATTGTAGAGATTAGATTAGTTTTTCAAAGAGAAAGTAGCTAAAGTGTACAATAAAATAGAAATGGAAAAAATACTATTATTAATAAAATTATTTCATATATAAGACAAGTCAAATATTTTGATCTAAAAATAAATTATGAAATATCTCACCGCTTTTGTTTATGGCTATTAAATAGTGGACACTACTTATTGTCTTTTCGATCACATATACTAATAACCAAGTAGTTGTCCCTCAGCAATGATTTATCCACTCAAGCTAACAATAAATTTTTCATTACTTCCTTCACTCCAATTTTTATTTACTTGAATAAGAATAATTTTTAACTCCAATGCCAGGGCGTTTGAAGATACATCCAAAACTAATTTAATATTAATTTTTTTAATTCAATGCTAATTTTTTTTTAAATCTAACATAGCAATTATATAAAATTTTTACAAATTAATTTGTAATAGATGCCAACAAAGGGAGAATGAATCTCTTCTCGATTCTATCGAAATTATGTATATCATTATTTTTGTAAAAAATATAACATTAAACTTTTATTAATCAAATTCAACTAATGCATAGCAAACTAATCTTTACCTGAAGTATATCTGTGTTTACATATATTTTCAAATGAATCGACACTAATACTTGTATGTCTAACTATCGACATGACCATTAGTAAATCTGTTAATAAGCGGGAATAAATATTTGGTCGCAAAAACCGTAGTTGTATAGAAATATATTAGAGTCTTAGAATACCCAATCATAAATAAGAGAAACTATAGAATAGAAGGAACATAATCATAATTAGGTGCTAGTACTCGAAGAATAAAATATTGATTGATGTGTGAAAATAGGTAATCGGCGATGCAAGTAAGGTTGAATCTGGTTTAAACTGTAGAAATGAAACAGAGATTGTCCTTAGGCTTGCATTTATAATTAATGTAGTCGTAAAGGATTCCAAACAAAAATAGATGGAATGTTTCAATTAAGATCGATTTTTTTTTTAGAGTAAAACTGTTTGTGGACCACATCATTCTTAAGTGAGAGTACTTAAGAAAGATGAAAATAGTTGCACATAGCAAAGAAGCTTAATCTAATAATTGATTTGATTATAGCTGCGGAGGGCAGTTTGGTGATTAATATGGCAGAAGTTAGCATTTCGGGTGCATTATTCTAAAACCGTTTTTCTTAGTGAATTGACAATTTTTCTTCAATTTTATCACAAATATTATGTGTTTATGATGAATAAAATATTTTCTTTTCTCCTTGTATTCATCGTAAAAGCCTTGTTTGTTATATTTTGTTATATGAATATAATAAACAATTTCAAAGACATCTCCTTTAAATATACCATAAATACGGTTGAGACGTAACCGTATGTATAAATTCATATATACTGTTCCAGCATATATGTATATAACAGTGGCATAGTCTGATTTTCGAAAATAAGAGAATTAAAGCTATTTTAAAAATAAATTTTTGAAATAACTTTGGAACAGTGACATATAATGTTTGTTAAATATCAGGGAACTGGCGATCTAAGAATGCAAAATATTTTTTTTGTTTTACAAATTAACATTTGAAAATAAAATAACTAAATAAAATCTTTATGTTAATGTTGAGCCTACTCCGAATTAGTGTATTTGGTCACTTTTACGCTTTGATAGCTGAGGGGTTTCTGCAGAGTCCTACCCATCTCACTGAATAATTTGTGTATTCCTCATAAGCTTCGTGATTATTCAATGACTGATCTAAGATCTGCGTACCGCCCCGTGCGGCTAGTGATTACTCCGAGATTAGATAGTGCTAAGTAGGGTAGCCTGTCGGTTTTCGCATATAGCTTCAGGGCTCTGTCCCTTATGTATTTTTAACCGGATCTATTCTAAGATCTGTTAACATATCATTCATGCGGATGTACTATGGATGGATGTTTACTGACAAAAAACAAGTCTTTATTCTAAATACCTCTATTAACACTACTTACTACAGTTAGGAATGACTTACACTACTTTTCGCAAGAAGTGTTTTTAGTGTGATCCCCCTGAAATACACAACGACTTAAGACCCTTTTATGTCTCAGAGAAGAAATATATCCACTCCACTTTCTTCTCATTGTATATGCCATTGATATACAAATACTCCAAAAAAACAACCTCTTTGAATAGGTGTGCAACCCTTGTATAAATATTTGAATTTGTCACATCCGAGTGTAGAGCAATGAGAAGCCGTTTATATTCTCTTATCAAACAGATTTCTATGTTATCAACATAAGAATTATATTTAAAAAATAAAAACAAATTAATTATGACTTTGTGTCCCTGAATTTTAAAATTTTTATAATGAATTTTATCTCACATGTGTATGAGATGTTTAGACTATTTAAAGATTAAAAAGTCTTCGTATATAAATGGTTGTTCAGCTGTGAAAATTAATCAGTAATTCAAAACTCATTAAATTCAAAAGAACTAAGGAAGACATGCAGCAGAGTAAAGTTTTTCTATTGGTAATAATATATATCTTCAGTATATATATAATATATGATATACTCAGGATGTGATAAAAATTTTCTAAACATTTCAGTGCTTCACAATAGCTGCAGTATTTCTATTGCAGCATGCAAGTGCAAAGTGTAATGTTTGCGAATCTAACAGTGTTGCATGTATCAACGAAACATCTTTCCGACTCTGTCACGATCAAACAATTGATAACAGATACATTTTTCACTGCCCCGACGCGAATGTTTGTACCGATCTAAGAGTTATATGCGTTGCAGAAGGTCCTAGCGTTAAACCACATTGTGACTTAACCTCAGGATGCAGCGTTTGCAACAACCAGAAGCTTTTCACTTGTGTCAGTCGCACTCAGTACGCTTTATGCAACGGTGATGTGGTAACCGATGATGTTGCCACATGTCCTACAGGATGGGTTTGTAGCAGTTCAACCCCTGAAATTTGTGTTCCGGAAAGTTCAGTGCAAGGTGAAGTAGAGTGCCAACGAAATGCAGTGTAGGTCTAAGTAATAGTTTAAATATAAATTTGTGTAATTAAATTTTGAAAATAAAAATAATTTTCCTTTTTTGTATTAATAAGAAAATATATAAAGTTGTATTTAAATAAAAAATAAAAATTAATGTTTTCATCTGTAACTATAATTACACTAAAGATATGAATACTTATAACTGCATAATTTCTTGGTTAAGAAAAGAGAAATAAATGTGAAGACGGAAATCAAAACACTAATAAGCGTTATAAAAAGTGTCCTCAATTTTTTTTTTGCAGATTTTTGAAATAAAATTTTTATTGAAAATCGTTTTGAATTAAGTATATATATGACCTCTTACAATTTATGAGTAGCTTCATAAGTTCATCTGTGCTGAACAACGCTAGTTTATTAACGAAAGACTTGGTAAATGATTTTCAGCACCTTGAGGTGAGCCAATTTTTTACCATTAATAGAGTTTTGCAGAGACCGAAGTCAGGCAGTACAAAGGCCACGATATACAGGAATGGCAGCTCTAGATTAATTGTATTTATTTTATGTAAATGGTTTATAGGAATTTACGTGGAAAAATTTCGGATTATATACAATATTTATGTAAAAACTTAGAATATCTCAGACGAAAAGAAAAAAAATTTCATATATAGGAATTTACGTGGAAAAATTTCGGATTATATACAATATTTATGTAAAAACTTAGAATATCTCAGACGAAAAGAAAAAAAATTTCACATCATATATTACGAAGTCATACAAACCAATTTGGATAAAAGTACATATTTAAAAGTACCCTAAAAGGGCACTTTTAAGGGAAATTAAACCTAATAAGAATTATAAACAAAAATTTAGTTGCGTAAATTATACCACATAGCTACCCTTTCATTTAGACATTTATTAAATATGCCATAACAAAACAGAGTAGAAAAAGTGTTGTGTTCACTATTGGATGTAATATATGTATGTAATATATGTATGTAATACATTATTTAAAATTCTCATTGATTTTATTTAACATTAAATGTAAAAACCAACTCAATTTTAAGCGATATGAGGCAAGTGGCCTACTCCTTTCGGGTATATTAACTGTTGTGTAATTTTTGTTCGAGTTGTGTTTCTGTTAAGATCGTGGAAATATGGAATGTCCGTCATTCCATATCCGTCAGGCTCCTTGAATCGTAATGAATTTAAATAGAAGTAGACGTATATGTATATCTTGCGGACAGACTTAATGGCACATATAGCAAGTAGTCAATTGGGTTTCCTCAAAAACAATAACAATCTCATTTTATGCTTCTTAATATTTGAGAACTTACATTTTTTTTTTGTTTTCAAAATATGTGATGCAAAATTCTCCAAAAAGTATATTAAAAGACACATTCATATAATATTCGGAGATTACACCGAATACTTCCAATACTTCACTATTCTATACGTGTCTTTTTGTTAAGGATTTTATTTAACTGCAAGAAATCCCATTAAAACGAATTTTAAGGTTTGCCTAACGTTCAAGGTGGTTTCACAACCTCTGATTTTTCCATTGTACTGTGACATAATAGGTCAATTCTTATAAGTAGATCTTTTGTGTCGTCGGTATAACCTTACTTAACCTAACACACGATTCAATAAGCCGGGTTTAATAAGAATCCTTTGCGATATTTGTTAGATTGCAGCGACATCTATAAGAGAATAATGGTAGGTTAATGGTGTACGATTTGATCCTTTCTTTTCTCACTTTGAACGATTATGTTTAACATTTGCTTCAACCTAAAATCTTCTTTAATGTTTAAAGCATTATGCCAATCTTATATTCAACATAATTGTTCAAATTCATGTTTACCTTTTTGAGCTCCAAGCTGCCATCAAAAATATGCAGATATCAAACAATAGCCACTGTTAAAGTCATTATTAAAGAAGACTCTAATGCTTTAATTTCACATCGACTCTGCACTTTGAGACTGTAGAAAATTATGCAACAAGAGCTTGTTTATATATCTTCAAGAATTAAAGACACACAGTAGTTATTAGGTATTGGAAAGTTTTGAAATCGATTTATTTCTTACCTTCTTATATTGCCAAATCCTTTATCCAATTTCATGTTTCATTTGTATGCTGAATCGTCGTTTCTGACTATTATTTGTGTTATCGAGGTCTATATATGGAGATTGTGTCCATAACATTTATTTTTGCTTGTAACCTTATAAAGGGTTATAACTTATACTCTTACATATACACACATGTATAGTTTAGTGTTAAAACTTATATTAGACGAAAAAGTTTTGAGATATAATTACTGTTGTTAATGCTTTGAATTTACTACATTTTGAAGATTCACTTTCAGCTCTTCTGAGTCAGTAATGGAGACAACAATTTTTCATTTATTAAGGAACAGAGAGAACACAATTAGTTGAAAATTACTTTTTTCTATTTTACCTGTTTACGTCAATAATCTTTAGATATTTTTAGTTTATACACAGACAATTTTTACTATTCCAATTTTTACTGAGATAAATATCACTCGAAGTATAGTTATACAATTCTAAAACATTAAGGAGTTAAATAACGAACGACTTCGTACAAAAACAACTCTGACAACATTGATTGCTGTAATTTCTGAAGAATATGTTTTAGTTCCTGTTCTGTCCATAAAGTATGTAACTGTTCTTTTTGTTACTCAGACCACGAAATGAGGTTATAAATAAATAACGTCATCAAACCCATAAATGCAATAGATATCATGTTCAAAACCAAACTGAGCGTTTTATAAACGGTATAAAAGCAACCCATAATAAACCTATAATTAATAATGCGTATATAAAAATTTATATATATATATTAATATATATATCAATATATATATATATAAAACAGTATATAGAATCGGCCAGAAGTCACTTTGTTTCATTATAATTTTAATATGTTTCGGTAATGTTTTTAATAGGCTTTGATAAAAATGTTGTTTTAATTTCTGTATGTTTATACTTCTATCACTCTTAACTATTGTTGGTTGCATTTAAAGCTATATATATTTGATCCAAAAAGTATTGGGAATTAAATAATAAAGTGATATTTCATAGCTGTGAAGCTTTGTAATCTCTATTTCGACTGTATTAATGTTCATATCAGGTGTTTGAGTTGAAATTCCATTTTTAATCAACAAAATAAGTTATTAAGGAATTATTAGTCTTTAACTAGTAATTATATATTTTCGGAACAGTTACCAAATTTGTCATAAAAATATACCATACAAATTTATTCAAGTATATACAAATATTTCTCGATATTTGCAGAATATAAAAAAATTTCAATATAACGTCCATGAATATATTGTTTTTAAGAAATTCTCATCATGACACCCGCAATGCACTGATTAAATCAATTATAATTACTTATTTTTTTATTTATTAATTTATTATGAAAAATTAGTAATTAAGTAATATAGTACAATGTAATTTATTATTAACAAATATTTTATTTTAAAAATATTTATTTTACTTAAATTATATTATTAAATAAAGTGGTGTATACTCTAGTCATATTCACTTTGAAAATTATAGCTAGGAAAACCTATAATTTAGGGTTCAGAAAGTTCTAATTTACACACATGTGGCTGGTTTAACGTTAATGCAATTGTTGGCTTCTGCACTGAAGTACAATCCTGCGGGACATGTCATCGCCGTACCTTGTAAGTAACCTCCTTTCCAGAAGCAGTAAACGTAACTAAAAAGTAATATTTAAAAATATTATGGGATAAATTAATCAAATCAATGGTGACTTTAAGAAAAAATGTTTGCATACTTTGTACATCCGGTGTCTCCGGGGTATGGATAACGTCCAGCGGCTGTGTATCCGAAACATACTTCGTTAGGTGTTGGGAGTGTTACAGGTGGCACAGTTGTTGTGGTTGCAGGAGGTACTGTGGTTGTTTCTGGAGGTACAGTTGTTGTTTCTGGAGGTGCAGTTGTTGTTACTGGAGGTGCAGTTGTTGTTTCTGGAGGTGCAGTTGTTGTTTCTGGAGGTGCAGTTGTTGTTTCTGGAGGTGCAGTTGTTGTTTCTGGAGGTGCAGTTGTTGTTTCTGGAGGTGCAGTTGTTGTTTCTGGAGATGCAGTTGTTGTTTCTGGAAGTGCAGTTGTTGTTTCTGGAGGTGCAGTTGTTGTTTCTGGAGGTGCAGTTGTTGTTACTGGTGGTACAGTTGTTGTTACTGGAGGTGCAGTTGTTGTTACTGGAGGTACAGTTGTTGTAACGGGTTGTGCAGTTGTTGTTACAGGACGTGCAGTTGTTGTGACTGGACGTGCAGTTGTTGTGACCGGAGGTGCAGTTGTTGTTACTGGAGGCACAGTTGTTGTTACAGGTGGTGCAGTTGTTGTAACGGGTGGTGCAGTTGTTGTTACAGGTGGTGCAGTTGTTGTAACGGGTGGTGCAGTTGTTGTTACCGGAAGTACAGTTGTAGTTGCGTCAGGATCATCAATTGGGCCATCAATTGGATCACTTAGATCACATAATTGATCTAAATCTAAATTACATCCTTCCAACACACATGGAGTTCCAGAAGAAGCTTCGTTCACATTACATATATACTTGTCTGGACAATAACCACGTACATCTGTTAAGCTTCCACCAGAACACATTGTATAACTAGTACGACTAGTGCAAGTAAAGCCACCTGGAAGAGCATCTGTGCATACACCACACTTTGAAGTATCTCCACAGGCTGGTGTTATAGTGACTCCTTGGGTAGCGGTGGGATCCATGCATGCCCGGCCAAAAGTAGTGCATAACTCGTTGGCACCAGTGCAGGTAAAACTTTTCGAAGTATCAGCCACACCTATTTTTGTGAAATAATTGTAAATTACATATATCTTAGATATGATGTTCTTCGTTTTAGTTAATCTTACCATCGATACAGACTTGAAATTCATTTTGGCTTATGCAGGCAACTCCGTTGTCATTGCATGCATTACAAATCGCACTGACGTTTGTAAGACCCAGTGCTGTCAAAATCATAAGGAACTGTAATGAATAAATTTTACAAATTAAATGCAATTATTTATTAATTAACTTTTGTTTGTTATTTAACAAAAAATCATTATTCTTGATAAATAATATCTATCTTACGGTAAGTTTTAACATTTTCTATAGTATTCCTTGTAGTTATGGTTTATAAAGTTGCTAGGATGAAAGTTTCAGTTCAACTAATGAATTCGTTTGTTAGAATTCGGCTTTTATAATTCAACTCACATGTCTACAGATATTTGATTTCACACCATGATAACTTTTATCACAATTTTCAATGCTAAAAAGATTAACACTTCATGCCAAAAACTACTGCTCTGATAAGAAGGAAAAAAGTATCTCGCACGCAGATATGCAAAATTTTTACAAGGCTTTTTTAGGAGAAAATTTTCATTCAGTTCATTAACGTTTTACTTTTATCTAACTTAATTTTTTAAATATAGATTTTTTTCTACTTAATGTGTTACACAATTTGTGTATCTTTTAAAAAGTAGAAAATGTGTAATTTATAAAATTTTATTTAAAAAATGTTTAAAAATCTCTTTAATGTACAAACCTAATCTATAGTTGATACCGTCTAGGTTTAAGACAGGATTAGTCCAAAATATTTCGATATTAACTGAATCTTTGGTTTTGACACCAATTTACATTGATAGCTAGTAGTTATTAATACCCCATTCACAAGCACTCCCATCTGTGTAAATTTAAAAAATCTAAAATTACTGCATTACTAAAATTTTTCATTCCAATGCACTTCTTCCGAATCTTAGAGATGAAGATCTGTGTTTTGTAACAATAAGTAAATTTTTTTTATTATAACCAACTTAACTATTCATGGCTCTCACGGTTGCTCCAATGAAAGATTTACTCCTACTAAAGATGCTGAATTCATATTTTAAATTTAATTTGCTACTAGTCCATCTATAGATAGAGCGCAATGGAAAGGAATAATATTGTCGCAAGCACAACATCCAAATGTCGCCTAATTTAGAGACATTATAGCCTAGTACAAAATTTATAGAAGACTTTCAAATCGGGAAATTTAATAGACAAGTTCTTCCTTTTTTTTTTTGCAATGTTATAAAAAGATGAAGAGTAGAACAAAATTATCATAATTTCAGTCAAAAAATCACATACGATCACCAATTTTACTTATACATTAACTTTTAAATAATTATCGTCCAGCATAAAATATTTAAATACAATATACATATAACACAATTTTTTATCTTTAAGTGAAGTTGTCTAAAGGTTATTTGGAAGGTTAGTTTTTGGAAGATTACATGATGTCAGATGATCCAATTGAACCAGAACCAATTGTTGGCCGATATCATTCTTTTCAGTAAACTCTTGTAAAATTTCTAAACATTCACAAGCAAGTTGGCTTATTAGTTTGATAAGTCCATATTTTTTTACTAAATATCACCAAAATATATACTTATAGAATCAGTCCTCTACAACGACTTGAATAATAGATATAATAAATGATAGATATTCATTTTTTCTCAAAGACCAACAAAAATAAAACTCCATTTTGATTATAGAGATGGTATGCTACAGTGTTATGCTCCCACTTTTTCTAATTATTTCAATAAGAAATGGTAAATAGAAATCTATATTCAAAAAGCTGAGTCCGATTTTGAAAAGTTAAATAAAATGCCTAGGATTGAAAGAGAAAAATTAATTATTTGGCGCCTGTGTGAAATCAGTCAAGTTGTATTAATGCAAGACCTGGTACGTTATAAATATTTTATGAAAAGATTACAAGGATTCACGAATCCATGCCTAACAACTGTTTTGTGCATTTGATGTTCCAGAATAATAATTATCTAATGAGTTTGGCAGATGCGTGAGTCAATACTCTTTCGAAAAAGCAGTATGAGCCGCAACTGTTTAGAGTAAATTCCAAAGGTCTTAGATCTAGAAATCAAACGAAAACGACGTGACAAAGAACAACGACTCATGATACAAACGACCCATTTAGCAAACTTCGTATTACAGCACCACAAAAGCTATTGGAAATTGTTTGTAATTTATAAATCTACACTTTTTACTATTTCATCAATAAAATACTTAAAGTCAAAATCAGCATATAGCCGCTAAAAACAAATGAATGCTATGGAGAAAATGAAAAGAAAATAATTCCAATATATCTTATAAAGCAATTATACATATAGTTATTCATAATATAATGATATTTATGTATGGTGATGGCAACAGTGTCTGCACGTATGTCGTACCGAAGTGTTACTAACGTAGACCCGGGGTAGGATAAGATTTCTGAGAATGAAAGGGATCAGTTTAGTTCGCTTGAATCGGATACCCTCTTCAGTTCCGGATTGTGCCCACTGCGTAGGCATTACCTTTTCTCCGTCGTGTAAAAAATAAACTGCGCCTAATGGAAATCGGCAACGAATCTGACAAGAACATATCCTAATTCTAATCATCATGATAAGCATTATAACACAAATTTATTTTAGTTCCCAGCATGAGTTTTCGATTCGATGAAAACCAGAATAATCTACTGAACTCATCTGCTGGGTGCAAGATCCATTTCATTACAATCGCAGAACACAAGCGAAAATGTGGATGAGTATTTTTTTCAGCTTTTTTCAAAGTCTAACGATGTCGGGATGGCTTAGTCCCATAACAGGTAACAAATATAAACACGTTGAGTTAAGAAATTTATATATTCAAAAAAAAAAAATTATTGTGCGAAAGCAATAAAAAAGATATTGATTGTCTTAAATAAGTAGTTTAACTGTTTATCACCTATAGATCTATTATAGATTTACTGTTACATTTTTTGAAAAAATAATGTTTGTGTTTAAAACACTAGCCCAAAAGAACAAAAATAATGCGATATAAAAAATAGAATGGATTTAGCATTGAAAGCGTTCTTTATGACTTTTTGCATCTTTAATGAAATCTGGCTTTCATAGGTTTTCAGGGTCTACATTTAAGCTACTTCTATTGAATATATTGCTTGTCTGGAGATACAGAGAAAATATGTAATACGTAATAATTTGAATTGAGTTGAAATAAATTAAATTATATATATTAATGACTGATTGCTGTATTGGATAAGTAGACTTCATAGATCCCATTATCACTATCTCTTAAAATAAGTTATAGGGCAATATTAGTTTGTTGAAAGAGTTTTCATTATTTCCATTTTTAATATGGGACACATCTATTTTTGTATTTTTTTTTAGTTTTTTCTTGACCCATAATTAAACATTAATGAACTAAAAAGTTTCAAAAGAATCCTTCACCTAAAAAAATATGATTACTTTTAAAAGCAAAATATTGTAAAAGAAGTGTGTCTATATAGTAAATAAATCCTAAAGCCAATACATCTCACAATAACTTTTCTATGGTTTTTTATGTATGATTTTGTGTTTGTATTTCATTTTAAATTTTTTCTAATCTCATCATATTATCACAATTTTCGGACTGAGAAGTAAAAATAGAACAAACAATACTACAGAGAGCAAAATGGACTGAGTGTTAAGAATAAGTGATTAACTTACTTAACTTAATTAACTTACTCAGCTACATAGTAGATAATATTTTTCCTCTGAAACAGAAATCATAAACTGTTGACATGCGAGGTAGTAAATCTTAGATGTCCCTGAATAGAGTCAAAATTCTCTACAATGCATAAAATTTTATCTTATTTCAGCACTGTTAAGTATCTAAACCTCTAAATAAAAATATAAGTGTAGGTAAATGTATAAAACTTTATATGAATATCATACAAACCAAAGACACAGTCATATATAAAAGCAGCATATTTCCTTAAAAGTATACAGTTTTCTAATAGGAACGCAACAGAACGTATTCAAGAACTTAAAAATGCAGCAACGAGTAGTCAAAATTTTGGTACTAAATCTTTATTAAAACTACTATTATAGTAAAAATATACTGACATCATTTAAATTAATCGATTATTTTTTCAGTGTCTTATCTTTGCAGTCTCTTTTTTCTTTCTACAAGTTTATGGAAAGTGTAACGAATGTCAACAAAATGACATAGCCTGTATTGATGAAACCCAATTTCACATATGTGCCGGTGGTCAAATAGATAATAAGTATACATTTAAATGTCCTGAGAATACAATTTGTACAGATTATAGAGCGAAGTGCATGCCAGCTGATAGCGGTATAACTCCATCATGCACGCCTGATGCTGGTTGCGGTATATGTTCTCCTCCAAGTATGTTTACCTGCTTAAGCCGTACACAATTCGCACAATGCAATGGAGCAGAAATAACCACTAATGTTGGAGTTTGTCCTGATGGCTTCACGTGTGACACTGCCACAAGCGCAATTTGTGTTAACGATTGTAACAATCTAACGAATTTATCATGTGATCGGGACCCAATAACGCTCTGAAATTATCGATAGAGCTTATTATTCCAGAATCAATTTAGTTAAGTTGCACTGCTTACAAAAGTGATTTGTTTTTATTAAATAAAATATTTAGGGAATATATGATTTAGTTGGGCTAATCTGCAGTTTCCATATAAAAGTATACATAGTTTATAAAAAATATATTAATATATATGTATAAACCTTTTTAGTATATAAGTCAGCAATAAATGTAAAGGCATTTCAAAAAAAGTTGCATTTTATCTTTTGAGATTTACTCTTTCTTCGTGGATTACTACCAAGGAATGATATCAGCGAACACCGGATGGATATTGAGTTTCTGTTTTTAAGGAAATATAATAAATATATTTAGATTTTCGTAACATTTTGTATAATACCTGGCGTCCATATATATGATGAAGTACTATTTACTTTTTATAAACCAAAAAACTACATTAATTACTACAATAATTCGTTTTTTTTTGATAATCCTTGTGCAGTAAATGACCTTTCTTGTATTTTAACATCCTGTAGGATTTTCACCATTTTGTAAGCAAACGGATGTTTAGTCAAGTATTGTTTGCACACTGCCTCAATATTATTCAATTTTTTCTTATATGAATTCCTTTCAGCAAGCACGCTCTGTAGCATAGCATCCTTGTGGTCTTTCTCTGAGCTCTTTGAACCAACCTTTATATCAAGCAGCTTTTTAATAATTTCAGCCTTATGGATACTTTGTGGTTTGGTATTGGCAACCGCTATATATTTTTGTACGGATTCATTGGTTGGAGTGCCATAACCAATTTTTTGATTGAAGCGTTCTGCAACATGATCACGAGTGCTAGTTGAGTTTTTACAGTGAGAATCATAAAACTGTTTAAACCAAATTAGAAAATGTAAATTTGGTATATAGCGATACTCAGTAATATCCAATATCGGTATTATCTTAGACTTGATAACAAATCTGAGAGAGTCAATTGCTGATTGCAGCAACTTATAGTTATGTACACAATCCATTTTCACATTAGTAAAAAATACAACCGTTCTCAAATCAATTGTGTAGGGGAAAAGATAATGCATAGCTTGGCAATAGGCTGCACCAGTACGTAATTCGCTAACTTCTCCAAAGTCAGCTCCTACGATGCCATTTAGCCAAGCGAGTAGTTCATTGGCTGAACAATTCGATTTTGGTTCAAAGGCCCAGCACGAAGTCGTTGACATTCTGGCAACTTTTCTTGTCTTGGAATTACAAATTACAAATTACAAATTTAGAATTTCAAATTTCAAATTTCGAATAAACTACAATTTAGAACTACAATCAATAAAAAATAATAAAAAAATCTTTAAGAAAAATACATCATTAAATATTATTATGAAAACATTGGTTACTAAGTCAAATTTCATCAAAACTATTTCTTAAGTTTGACAGTAAGTTCTCACTGGGAAGGTATAAATTTGGAATCTTTAGAATGTATACAGTTGTCAGTGTAGTGTAGTTAATTACTAGTTATCAAAATGTCTGTTTTCGGTACGTACTGCAGCTACATAATTAATAATTTGAAAATACCGGGCTTCTCTTAATAACCTTGCTAGGCGTGTAGTGTACAGCTGTCATGGGTGCCTGGATATAGAGACATTTCGGACAACTGTAGCGCAAACGATTTTGCCAAGGAAGGTACTCTACTCCCTGACATTCATTTCTCAGATAGTGGTGTCCCACTTGCAATAGCTATTTTTCAGCTATTTGTGTTCGACTTGCAATGGCTAAGCTGATAATCAAATAAAAATATCTGAGTATAGCTAAACAAAATTGAGGTGATAAACCGTGCTATCAGATTTCAAGATTGATCTCGTCCAAACTGCATATAACACATATTAACCAGATTCTTCAACTAATATTTAACTGATCAGCAATACTGGATCTGTTGTGCCGGGTCACTGCATATAAGAAAGACATGCTATGAAACTGGGTCTACCTTATACACACTTTTGTCGTGATTGTTGCTGTGCAGATGAGGAGGAAACCGCATTTTACCTCACGTGTCAGTGTCCATCATTGAAAAGATAGCCTCTTTTCTTACCGCCCTGACCAAGATATCATCCAACCAAGATGTCATCCAGTAAAATCAGGGACTGAGTCTAGTTTATAAATTTGTCGAGTTGGTTTACTTTTACATAAATGGGGGTGTATTGCTGTGCGGCTTTGCTCGTACTCTGACTTTATCTACCAACCTAAGTTACTCTAAAACGACTGTTCGCGCTCCTTTTTAACTCGCAATATATTAAAATCAACCTGTTCTGTAAGGTTGAGCAAAACTTTATCACAAATGAAATGGATTACAAAGATGGGTTATTTCAAGAAGGTGACAACAACAAAGAGCTCTTAAAAATCAGACCACTGTATTATCGAGACCTCGATATTTTTACAGCACTGCAGAGATATCCTGAGATACGTGGTAAGCTAGAAAATTAAAAACTAGTAGGTTTCTCAACACTATAGGTCTAATCCGGCCTTTTCTTATAAAAAACTGCATGATCTTATTGTTGAGTAGATTTTAGAAAGCATTTCATAAAAAAATCTAATTACTCGTTAGTTCACTTTTAACTAGTTTTGGTATTAACTGTTGTTATGTGCATATTTCTACATAACATACATATATATATTTATTATAAAAGAAAGTTTCCTTTATAGTACGAGGCTAGTTAACTCAATGCACTTGAGTACTTTTATCTCTATTAACTGCGATGTTCATTCATAACCCCTCTGCATGCTTTGATTAAATTTTTGTTTATCACTTCATCAGACTAAGCAATAACTGACCTCAGATCTGCATACCTCCCCGAGGAGCCTATAGCCATTCTGAGATCCATTCTGAGACAAAATAAAACTTAAAAAGCTGACTGGAGTGTCTATGAGACCCTCCGGCGGGCACATGCTTTCTTATGTTTGATGATGGACATATAAGCAATGCCTCTTGATAATATCCTAGGACAGGAGATTAGGGCTTTGATCATTTATATACTTTATATACTCACATCGTCATACGATAAATAAATTACTTAAATAAATATGTGGAATTTATTTATATATATATATACATTTAAATATAAATTTAATTGTGTTTGTACGCTTATATTCTTATTATATTATATATTCTTTATATGTTTAATTTGACATCTTATAGCATCACGAAAAAATTTTCAAGTAAAAACTTTTAATGAAATTATTCAAATAAAGGAATAAGGAAGCAGCAAGGATTCCGACTTTGAAAAAAGGATTGAACATACTATTTTGTAGAAGTTTAAGCCTTATCGCGGTTAATGCATTTAATTTATTTACAAGAATTTTAGTTTCGAATTGCAATTGAGCTCGGTCTAATTGTAAATTTTGAATTTGCTGTGCTTGCATTTCCAAGATTTGACGTAGGCCACTCACACAGTGGTGGTTGTCATCTTTTATCAGTAAACCACATCCCATTCGACATCGGAAGGGATTCTTATCACACGTATCCTCATGTTTTTGCAATGAATCGAATTTGAGTTGAGTTTCACATCCATGAATTCTATTCTCACAACTAATAGTTAGGTCTGCTAACATATTGCGAACAACGCGAGATGAAGTTGTCAAATCCTCTTTCACTAAAGAATGTCTGCATTCCGGGCACTTTGAATGATCAGATAAGTATTTCAATATACAAGCACGGCAGAAATCAGCCACACACGCATCACATTTTACAGGATCTTCTAGGACGTCGTTACATATGACACACAAGAGCAGTTCATCAACGAATGTAACGAAACGATTGATTTCATAACCCATTTTTGCTAAAATTCTGTTTGAAAACAAAAAATTTTATTATATTATTAAATAATATAAAAAATAAAAATGAATGATAATTGTTAATAACTGTTTACTAATCGCAAAAGAATACGCGATGCTTAGATGTCTCATAAAATATGATGAAAAATCTTCAAATGACTGGTGAATGGGATAAAACCAATTTATATTATTTGTTGTTGTTGTTGTGGTTTAAGTTAGTGCTATTACACAGTTTTACTCTTTTGTGGCTGGGAGCTTATCCCTGCCCCGCAATAAGCTTTAATTATACTAGAATTATTATTATTTATTTATCTTTTATCTGATGACGGACCGTAGATCAGCATATCTTCCTGTGCGCCCTGAGGTAGACTTCAGGTTTGTTAATATATGTATATGCTTTCAAGTAATGGAAATTAAATCACATACGATTACGTTATATGAAACAGTATTCGTCAAATAAGATCATTTTTCACCATTAAAAAAAATATTAAATGACAGGTGAGAAGACGCAATAAATTTATCGGAATTGTATGAAGATTATATATTAAAAACTAAATAGGTTCTATCAAAGGATTGAATCCAATCTATATAGTCAGCAATCATTAAAGTTGAAGAAATAAACCGAGGGAAAAAAATAAATTTGATGTAAAAGAAAGTTATTGTATTTCAACATGACAACGCGACGCAAACGTTTTAGAGTCTTAAACATTCAGAACTTGACGAAAATTTTAGTGAATTTACCTTTTAGTCTAATATTGGTCCAATATATGTATTGGTAATATTGGGATCTCTCTTGCCGCAGAACTCAGACCAATATTGGATTGTAGAGATTAGATTAGTTTTTCAAAGAGAAAGTAGCTAAAGTGTACAATAAAATAGAAATGGAAAAAATACTATTATTAATAAAATTATTTCATATATAAGACAAGTCAAATATTTTGATCTAAAAATAAATTATGAAATATCTCACCGCTTTTGTTTATGGCTATTAAATAGTGGACACTACTTATTGTCTTTTCGATCACATATACTAATAACCAAGTAGTTGTCCCTCAGCAATGATTTATCCACTCAAGCTAACAATAAATTTTTCATTACTTCCTTCACTCCAATTTTTATTTATTTAATAATTTTTAACTCCAATGCCAGGGCGTTTGAAGACACATCCAAAACTTATGTTAATTATTTTATGTTAATTATGAAATTTTAACAAATTAATTTGTAATAGATGCCAACAAAGGGAGAATGAATCTCTTCACGATTTTAATAAAAAAATATTTTAATAAAAAATATAATATTACACTTTTATTAATCAAATTCAACTAATGCATAGCAAACTAATCTTTTCAAGTGAACCAACAACTGGCACAGACATTACTTATATATGGCACAGACATATTATTACATTACTTATCCCTAATGATCCGTATCAGGGAGGACAGTGATGAAGAGAAAGTGTTGAGCTAGTGAAGTACTGATGATGACAATTGTTGGCATCATAGAAAGATTATTAGCAATAAATTTTAAATCCATGGTCACGAAAACTGTGATTGTGTAGAGATATGGCGGATAGAACAGACTACAAGGCATCAAAGTAGAGTGAGAGACATTATAGAGCTTATTCATAGCTGAGAGAAATAATAGAATAGCAGAACACTTGATCTTTTGTATTATTTTCCTAAGTAAACATAAGACAGTCCGTATTTTAAATGAAGCTTAAATGTTAGCAACTAAAGACAACTTACTTTCGGACGGGGATAGGAATACCTGTCCTAACAACTTCTCATGACCTAGATCAAAGCTGTACAGTAACAAAGAATGTGATCAGTGATTCATTCGCTTTTAAACATAGGCAACATTCTGTTTCTTTAGGCAGACCCATTTTATTAAAATAATAATAGAGGCCATGATATCTCACCAGCTACCAACACCGTTCCTTTCTGCTGAGGATGGAAGGAATGATACTAGTGCGTGAAACTTAGCAGATGAGTGAGGTGGCACCAGTGTCAATGTTTTACAGTTGACTTAAACTATATATAGGAAAATGATAGAGAGATCGAATAGCAAATCATTAAAGTTGGAGATATTATGGAGGTGTATCAAAACTAAAGAAGATGAAATTAGACGAATGATGCTAGGAGGAAAGTCAATAGACGCTTGGGTTGCCACCGAGTGTATGGAAGTAGGTACTCATATACGCAAGTAATTTTAAATTTGGCTTAAACTATAGAATCGAAACAGAGATTGCCGCTAGGCTTGAGTTTGTAATTAATGCAGTTGTAAAAAATTCTATATCCAAAGAAATTAAATTATTGAATCTGGACAGAATTTTTTTGGTAAAAACTGTTTGTGGACCACATGATGTAAGAGTATTTAAGAAAGGAT